CTCCAACGCGCAGAGTAGGCACACCGTGGGGGTTTTAGCGGGTATACCCTCCCCACCCCTCGGGGCGGAAGGGGGACTCCCGCATAACCCCGGCCATCTACCCCCCGAGGCCGGGGTATCCATAAAAAATTTTCCCCACGCAAAAAAAAAAAAAAAAAAAGAAGAAAGTAATAATACTACACCAATACACTGGACAGACACTTAATCTGACAATACATAATATATTAAACTAAATGATTAAAATCTATAAAGTAACCATTTCAGTCTACTAAAACTGTTATTAATAAAATTATGTTTTTAAAAAAATTTAAGAACAACAAACAAACAAAAATGAAGCACACAATAAATATCAGTACAATGATATATCTGGTGTAATCATATATATATATATGTATACGCATATATATATATATATATGCGTATATATATCTATATATATGCATATATATAAATTGACAAATTTCTCTAACTATAAAAATACCGCCAAATTTCTTAAAGTTAATAATTTCAACATTTAATCTCTTAATTTAACTTAATAATTAAAATAATAGAATATCTAATATTAGTCAGTAATACACCTTTTCTACAACAAACCTGATAGTCTAAGACCTTTATAATAAATATTCCACTAAATATAAAAACTCTAACTACTCTCTCTTTATTCAATATGTTTAATCATTATACAACTAATCATTCATTAATTTAAAGAAGGTAGTTTAACCGCAACTGCTGGCACTAACTTTTTATCATAATAAATTATTATACATACNTACATATGAACATATTAATAATAATATTAATACTGACAGTATTATTAAAACTTAATTTATATCTTGATTATAATTACAAAACTATTTATTGAATAAAAATTCGATTTATATTCTACTTAACTTATAATACCTTGCGTAAGTAATTTAGTAGAATATTTATTTACTAATTCAATAAAATAAATAATATACGTATTACATTTTATATATATTAATAGCATCATGATTTTTTTTCATTATTTTTAATTAAATATTATTATCTATAGTTATAATTAATAATAATTAGAATTTTATAGTAAATGTTTACATTATATAAAATAAGATATTATGTTAATTATATTTATGCAAATGCTTTGAATGATTTATAAATAAAGTGTTTATAATT